TAATCGCTGTAGTTTGTCGCTGCCCGTGTGTCGAGCCCTTAAGGCTGAGTTCACCTGAAACTCATCAGACTGAAGAAGCCTCTTGGAGGAGAAACAAAACGTTTCACTAAAGAAGAACTCATCCAGAGGACCTACTTATTTTTTTCTTTTTGACTTAGGCAAGCTAGCTAAACAGAAATTCTGCCATATCATATGGTAAACATCAAAGAAGAATTACAAAAGAGTTGTAGCATCGACAGAAAAAAATGAGACAAAATGCAAGAACCAGAGCTGAATATGTTGAGAATCTACTTGGAAGATAGAAAGATGGATAAAATTAGGGATGAGATCATAAGAAGTACATTATAGATGAAGAACTGGGAGATAATGTTAGAATGGCCACATTAAGATGGTTTGAACATGTCTAGAGGAGGTACAGTTGGTATTTATTTATTTATTTATTGATGTTACTAAAGTGCCAGTAAAAATACAAAAAAAGGCAACAGAGGACATATGGATATGGACAAACCTATTTTTAGAGTCCTCTATCTATTTAAGACATTAGGGTCTCAAGTAGACCTTATATTCCTCATTCTACAACTCTGTGGTGCACAAGATGACAGAGTGCTATGTGTCGACATGCAGAAACGGGCTTGGACCCCGGTCATAACTGCTTCACAGTTGTTGTTTATTCTTGGGGCAGTCACAACAGGTGTGCGCTTACACTGAACATTTAGATTACTCATAAGGGGATCTTATTTATACTGCTTCTGAAAGTAATGGTTAGGACTACAAAGCAAAGGGAGTTAAAACACAGTAGGGATGCAACATTTTACAGTTTTATATATAAAAAAAACATTTACTCATCAGTGTGTAAATGTGTGTATGAATGTGAATCAGTCCTTGGACAGAGCTACACAAATAAAGGCCATTTAAATCTGATGTATGTTTTAAATAACTGCTTTTAATGGAACTACAAATCCAATTAATTTTAAGGTTGTAAGCCTACAGAATAGAAGTATATGTGTATATATATATGTATATTTTACATAAATGGTGACCAGTAAAATAATCCCTGGTGTTACCGTGTAGGAGGTGGAGGCCTGATCCTTCATGATGCTCCCCTGCTCTTGTGCCTCCATGTGACAGGACAGCAAGTGCTCCTGCAGCTCCAGCTGGGAGATGCAGATCAGAGAGCAGAGAGGGCAGCTGAACACCTCACCACTCTGGCTGACGTGTTGACTGCAGATGTGGTCCTGCACTTTGTCATTCCCACTCAGGTCAGTCTTACAGTACAAACAACGCACCCCTGAAAGCTCTGAGATGAAGAATAAAGACACAAAATTATTTCCTGATTTTGAGACTGACAAACAGAAATCAATCTCACAATCTTATCTGCAACCAGCCAGCTGTTTCAAAAGACATTAGCATTCAATTATTTTAGTTTTACTCTACAAATGCATATTTTTACTGTTCAAATAAGAGCAGAAGTAGACTGAAATCCACAGCGTGTTTCTGATTGCTGCTGTAATACAACCCCTGGCAAAATGTATGGAATCACCAGTCTTGCATGAGCACTCATTCAGACATTTCATTCTTAAAACAATCTCAGATCAAAAACATGATACAATCATAAGGTCATTCCAAAGGGCAACTTGTTGACTTTCAGGAACACTCAAAGAAATGAAGAGGAAACATTGTGGAAGTCAGTGAATGTTACTTTTATTGACCAAACACAGGGAAAAAATATGGAATCACTCAATTCTGAGGAAAAAAGTATGGAATCATGAAAAACAAACAAAAGACCATTCAAAATACATCACTAGTATTTAGTTGCACCACCTTTGGCTTTTATAATGGTTTGCAGTCTCTGAGGCATGGACTTGATGAGTGACAAACAGTATTCTTCATCAATTTGGTGCCAACTCTCTTTGATAACAGTTGCCAGATCAGCTTTGCAGGTCGGAGCCTTCTTGAGGACATTTTTTTCAATTTCCACCACAG